GGGAAACACTACTCGACAGAGTTGTACAGATAGAAAGATATTCAATGATGTCTTGTATAATTGCAAAAAGGTAGATCAGTGTAATACAGAATTTGCATTAGGATGCAGTCAGTTTTTATGCTAATTTTAATTTGCAAACCCAAGAGATTAAAAAATATACATTTCTTACTGATGTCTTTCAGTTAGTATTTATTCCCCTAAAAATTGTCTTAAAAGTGATCAGCTTTAAATGCCTTTTATCTAGGTGGGGGCAGTAATCTTTTGGTTATCAAGGTGTCCTGTAGTATTTCTTGCGTGGTCAGATGAAAGGTCCCCTGTCCATTGGTGTGTGAGGCTCTCACTGAGTCCTGCACACTAATTCCTTCATTTGAACAGTGATGTTTGTCTGTGATGCAGCAGTAGTAATACACAAAAATTCTATGCACTCTGCTAAGCACTGTGCTCTCTAACTACTGCATTTCCCAACCCTGGTCCTCGGGGACCCCCCAGATAGTCCAAATACGTAAACTGTCTGGCAGGGAGTTGTGAAGGAACAAAAACTTAAACTGTCTGTCTGGGAGCTGGGAAGGAACAAAAACGTAAACTGCCTGACAGGGAGCTGGGAAGGAACAGAAACGTAAACTGTCTGGCAGGGGGCTGGGAAGGAACGAAAACGTAAACTGTCTGTCTGGGAACTGGGAAGGAACAAAAACATAAACTGTCTGTCTGGGAGCTGGGAAAGAACAAAAACATAAACTGTCTGTCTGGGAGCTGGGAAGGAACAAAAACATAAACTGTCTGGCAGGGAGCTGGGAAGGAACAAATACGTAAACTGTCTGACAGGGAGCTGTGAAGGAACAAAAACTTAAACTGCCTGTCTGGGAGCTGGGAAGGAACAAAAAACGTAAGCTGTCTGGCAGGGAGTTAGTGTCATGACCTGCTCGTCTGATCCTCCTGTGTGCCACGCCCCCCTCGTTACCTCATGTTAATTCCCGATTGTAATCACCTGTTGCCTGTTATTCTCTGCTTGTCTTGTGTATATTAGTCCACGTTCAAGTCTGTTTCCCTAGGTCTGTCATTAATGTGGTTTGTGGTGTGCTGTCTGCCTTGATTAAACCCCGTTTTCGTCCTATTCACGGCTCTCTCACCTGCTTTCCCGCTCGCCCGCACGCCGTCATCACAGCTAGGAAGGAACAAAAATGTAAACTGTCTGGGAGGGAGCTGGTTTTGTATTTAAGTTTAGAAACTGTTTTGGTGTAAAGATCTACATAGGATAAATCTTTTTCAGAAGTATAACAAGAGAAATTCATTAATAAAACTTCTCTTCTGCAGTGTGTCCAAAAATAACAGCATCATATTCAGATTCTTAGCGAATCTTGACTCTTATTGATTATCAATAGGCTTTGTTGTCTGGTTCGGTTTGAGCACAGCGTAGAGGATTTTTTGTGAGGTCATGAAATAAAGAAGAGAGCACAAATTTACAATACAATCAAGAAATCATTCTTTAAAGAACTGTGTGAATTTGCTATTGTACTATTGAATGCTTAGTAGACATAGAACTTTCGACATCTTTTAAAATTATTTAATTATTCATATCTATAGTGCATAATAGATGAGAGCTTCATAAAGCATTCATAATGCATAATAAACATGACTATAATTTGTTATTCCTTTTTAGAAATATTTATAGCCGTGTTTATAATGCTTTATGAACGCATTATAATTCATTATGAATGTGTTTATAAATTACTAAAAACATGACCTTAAGTAAAAGTGTTACCATTTTGTTTTTTTTTCAATGACCAAGTATTGTCTTATTAGAAACTTTCCTAATGTGTATGTATTTATATTAAACCACTCAGGGTTGAATGATCCATATTCCATCTATCTATCCATCAGTTCTTCCATATCCCAACTGCTTATGGGGGGGTCTGGATCCTATCCCAACCCGTTTTTAGGATACTAATCATGTCAGTCACCAGGCATGCACAGTGACACATTATGGAAAATTTGGAGATTGGAGATACCACACACAGGACTGCCATGCAAACTCTACACACACACGCGCACACACACACACACACACACACACACAGAAAGGCTGCCATGCAAACTCACAACTATGCCAGGCTGAATAACAGAATGTCTGCTAAATATTGTTCAGTGTTTTTTTTTTGTTAGAAACACACATCTCCTACACACTTCAGCATTTGTTTTTTTATGCGACTTACTATATCTCTGGCACAATGCAGTCAGCCTTCCATAACATTTGAGTTACTCTGTTCTGAGTTGTCTGTTATGGTTTCACAGTTACACGGATTTCCACATTGCACATACATAAAAAAAGACACTGGAAGCTCAAAGTACAAAATACACAATTTCACTGATATCACAACTGCGCCCACACTGGCAGAGTTAGCTAATAAAGCATCTGAGCAGTGCAGGGGGGTGCTCAAAATCTGTTTTTCTTTTAGGCACTTTACCAGGATCATTTTGCCAAAATCTCTCTCTCACTATACTAAGCATCATAGCTAATGATGATCAGGATTTCATTTTTGTTGTTGTCAGAGTTTGTGCAAATGCAGCATTGGTCTCCAGTTGCACTCACAAGATAAACAACAGTAGGGATTTTTTCAACACAGTGCTCTTCTTCACAACCAAGCGTAGATGATACACCCATTATACTACAGATATTCCATCACAGTTGGTTAACAGGTGGAACTGGAAACTAAACAGGCCAATACATAAGAATAAATATGAAAATGTGCAAAAATATATATGACAAACTGTGAAAGCGTTTTTTTGAAAATTGAGATCGTGAGCATGAAACTCGCACTCAGAGGATCTCATTTAATAATGAAATAGCCGCGAAAGGCCACCAGGTTACTCCAGTCACTTTAAAGTTATTAATAGCTAACGTTTGAGTCACCATGTGGTACAGCTTTCAATTTCCAAATAATATCCGTCAAACATTAGAGTGCAAGTTGAGGCAAAATCCAGCAGGGAAACTGAACACGTGGCATGATACTACCATGCAGTCTTCATCTTAATCTGTAATATGAATCAATCATCAATTATGCATTCGCTTTTAAAAAAGAGCCCACCAAGGCTTACATAGCATTGCTGTAGATGACTGCTTGGGAGTATGAAGTCTCAGTGGGTATTTCTGAAAATCCTCCTTTCTAAAAAATTCTACTCTTAATTTAATTCAGACAGAATGTACGTTGGTAAGCGCATACATAAGGTCCAAATAAAACATTTACTTGTGTAAATGAAAGCAAACCTAGTTTGTGACAGCCATGAATGAACGGTACGTTCAAAGCCCTGATTAGTACCTGCTAATGGCAGATTACATACTGTACAGTAGGTTGTGTAACCAGTAATACTTAATTACCTTACAGAATTTAGTTATCAATTATCAGATATAATTAATTTCTGTCTAGTATAATTGCTCGCTGACGCATTGTTGTTTTTAAATGTTTTTGGGCTTTACACTGGCATAGCAGGATTCCTTCTGGATATTTACTGGAAAATTAATCAATGACAGCATGTGTTTTAGGTGTTGAAAGAGGATTTTTTTTTTTTTGTATGAAATACATTAATGGGATAATTCTGCCCTTCAATGGTATTAGATGTGGGTCATTTTTTTTTACTTTGCTTTTTTATTAGAAACCTTTTTCTCAGGAATTTTACAGCAATTGTGTAATGGTTACATTATGCATCACAGAGTACAGAGCATTTCACAGTGCCTGAAATACTGCTGTAGGGACATTAGCATTTCAGACATACATTTCAGTTGCTTGGTGAACGATGGACCGACCACATGCCTGAACATGGTGTTCGTACACACAAGTGGCAGTATTTTTATTGTTAAGCAATTTGGGGCTTCATTTTAATACAGTGCTGGGTCCACGGAGTTACTGTAGCTGAGCAGGGGGGTAGCTTTTCATTTCTGATATTTGCTTCCGGAATAGGGGCACTCCAAAACCCCAGCCTGGTGTTCCAGAGCCACCTGAACACTGGCATAATAGATTTACGAGATTTCTAAAGATCCCATGTAGCGTTATCACACCGGATACGCTTCCGGTTTGCTATTCACTTTGTGATGCAAGCAAGAAGGATAATAAGAAGGAACATATGACGGTAATGCCATCTCACAGGGGTTGTGCATCGTGGCGCTCAAAGCTACTGCAGGTGTTCAGCAATGATGAGGGTGACGGGCGGTATGCTCAGTCACTGAACACCCTAGCTGCCACTAACAACTTAATGGTTTAAAATTGATTTAAAGGGCCAATTACCAAAAAGCCACACAAATAAAATAAATAAATAAAGGCAATGAAAGCATTTTTCCGTTATACTGTAATAAAAATAATCTGAGCTCACTTTATCCAGTGTTCTCTTTTTCTGGTTAATCTTCCTTATTTTGCCATATCCATTCTGTAGGCTACGCTTCATTCACTGGCTAGTAACTGGATAATGGGGCTACATCAGTAATTTGTCAATGGTCCTCTTCATTCTCCAATGACTGGAGCCCTTTCCCTGCTTTAAAGTGTGACCAGTTACTCTCCTGTGATCTCCCGTAAGTGTGGCACATAGCAGCTGCGGCCACAGATAACAGCCGTGGGGATGAGAGGAGCCAGCATGCAGACAGCAGGTCCCCTCTCTCTTCCTTCCGCGAATTTGCATGTGAGGGATGGGAGAAGCCATTGAGCATGTTCTGAGGGGCTGCCTGGCCGCCGGCGTCTGCGCGCTCGTCCGCAACGCGCCGCTCATCTGAGCACCTTCGGGCTGCATCGGCTCTGCGCCCGTCCCCCCCCCCACCCCCGCCACGCGCTGTGCTCTGCTCGTTGCCGTGGCGTCTCTGAGCGTGCAGCCGAGCAGCCTGTTCAGATGCTCGCAGCTGTCTGCCTCTAGCAGCATCTCCTCGGTGGGGCCTGGGTGCTGGGGCGACGGAGTGCCACACTGTGAATGCCCCCCAGCTAGCGCCGCACTGGGACTGAAACCTCTCTGTGCCCCTGCAGGTCAGAGAGCAGAATCAGTCGTCTGACTCAGAAACTCAGTCAGAAGCAGAACGATGTGCTGATCAAGGACTTCAGACCGTTCTTTCTTGTTGGGTCCCCCGGAACCTCCCAGAGTCTGGACAGGTAAGAGGCACCTCTCTTTCCTTTCCTTTTCCTCCCCTTCGTGTCAATGTCTTCGCCATGCAAACCTGCTTACCATGCTAAGTCTTAAATTTGCTGTATGTGTTTTTTTTTTTACAGTGAATAGTAACTGTAATGGATGAAT